ACAGGAAATGTGACTGTATGTCCCCCGACAAAACAGATCATATTAGCGGTTACAATATGGAAGCTTGCCAGACTTAAAACAACTCTCAAAAAACAATTATACCATTATAGAAATCTTTTTTTATCTTGACATTTGTACAAGGAATATAATGTTCATGTCTACCTGTACTTACATGGAATGTTGACAGGTACAATCTGTCATTGCTATTTCTCAAGAAAAGACTATATTGATTTCTTTGTTCTCAAAGATTCCTAGTTGTGTATATTCAATATGTAGACTTATCAGATGAAAAAGTCAATAAAGTCAACAGGAAACCTTGTTCATTTGACAATGAGATTGTTTTCACTATATTCCTGAAATATTCATGGGGCCCATGTTTTTAAATGTTTAATTGAAAGAACAATATGACCACCAGATGGATATAATTGACCATTTATCCTTAAAAAGACATGAAGATTATCCCTTTCTCATTCCTTTTGTATGTTAAAATTTTTCAATCATTCTCTAGTTTCATTTAATGGCTACCTTTTGTACAAACATCGTAATTGTAGCAAAGCTCCATTTAAGATAGGTGGACCAAAAGACCTATCACATGGACGTCTTTGATTTTGACAGTTCATGTTTATCAGAATATGTCAATTTAAGTACATGTGGAATTTTTAATACCATCACCTCTTTGTTACCTGCCAAACAGTATACTTCAGTGTACCTTTAATACTGAGATAACAAATTGAATGCCAACATGTCAACAGAAGCTTAATTCAAACTCAAATTCAATGAAAATATCAACAGGTGTTCAGGAAGGGTACTAGTCTTCTGTTTTATCAACAATACCTGTCATTATTTAATTAAGGAATTCTTACAACTTAAGACCACTTACTATACCTTATACTTATTATCTGTCACAATGATTTAATGATTGAGAGAGTTTTTTTTCTAATTTGAAAAAAAAAAGTTAGGAAGTCCTATCAGTATTTAAGACATGTTATCATTGATGTGTATTTTGGAATCCATTGCCTTCATTGTAGATTGTGTATATGTAACCTTAAATGTGTTGTATGACCCTTTTGATGGTATGTGATGGAAATCTGCATTAAGACTTTGTCTTATATTACAGTAATCATCTTTTCAAAAATGCTCGCTACTAAAAGGAAAATGCTTGGCTTAAATGCTTCTTTTGACTTTCTTATATATAGATGTTGATGTCCACGAGAGTTAATGACTTAATCAAAAAGTTAACAGAAACTGATGATGTATGTCACTATTTTGAAAGGTACACAAGAATTGATGATGCATTCAGAACAAATGTACAAGAATTGATTGATGTCAAAGGTAAACAAGATTTTATGAAAGGGGATTACACAAGTATGATGAATATTTGAAGGGTACTCAAGTATTCATGACACATTCAAAAGTACACAAGGATTGATGATGTATGATAAATATACACTAGATTTGATTACACATTCAAAGAGTGCTACCAAAGAATGTCTGTATGGTAAATAAATGTCAGGTCTGGTTTGGAGAAGGAATACCTTGACCTTGTTGAGGAAAATGAATGTCGGGCACAACAGATTAATCTCTAATTGACTTCTGTAGCTTCAATTGTATTTTACATTTTGCATCAAAATTCTAGTGATATTTCCACAGTTACTTTTAATATGAACTGCTGTAACAGGCATGAAAAAGGTTTTTATAACAGAGCAAAGCATACTTTCCTGCACTACATCATCATATATCATACCAATAGAAAAGTCACAAGGGGAGACAAATATGACCCATTTATGATGTTTTATATATTGTAAATGACCATATGACCTATAACAGATTAGTGAGGTGATATTTTTGTTTTTGATCATCATGACATCAAATATCAATAAAAGTTCTAAAATAAGATTATTTAGAATTACAGATATACCTTTACCTACTTCTTGTAGTTTACTACAATTGTATGCACTGTAATTGTATATTAACCCTAATAATTGATGCATTGAAATACCTCCTTGTTTCTTTACGAAAGAATGCACACAGATAATATCCTAATTAATAATTAATAAATATATAGGTATTTTGTACCTCAGTTTACATAAATGGTGATAATTTTAACATCCTAACAAGTCAAGAGAAGTTAATTTTTCAGCTCTTTTTTTTTTTATCTTTTCCACATTTAAATTTAATTTGAATAGTTGCTTATCAAACTAGTAGAGACTGAAAAGGAGTATGTTTGTGACTTAAGCTTAAGACATCTTCACTTAAATCAATTAATCTATAAAATTTACTTACTCTTAGAAGTAGAATAAGCCCAGAGAAACAATTAAGACAATGATATAGGCCTGGCTAGGATCATATTAGGCTTTCATTCTGTGCTCATATTGATTATGTGATGCTATAGTTTTTTAGAAGCTTTGATTGAATTTGTCTCTCAGCTATCGTGAGGAAGGCTTAAGTACTAGTCCCCCCAGTTTTTAAGGGTGTGTGTCTGATATGTTGTGTGATCTATTATCTTTCTCAGGCAAAGTAGAGATTTTTTCTAGAATGGGAGAAGTCAGTTTTGGTCTAAAATTGGGTTGGAGTGTCCCTGCACTACAGGAATTCTGTGTATAGTGCATACAAAGGAAGGTATAAAGTATTCTCTTGGAATATGAATGGATAGATTTTCACTTATCTAAACATTGAGCTTTCCTTTAAAAGAAAACTCATTGTCATATAAATGGAGGGTACCCCTAGGGGATGAGGCCAAAAGAGGAAAAATAAATTTATAACATATACTTGCACAAGCACAGACGTGGATTTTGACATAATTTGACAAAGAGAGCAATCATTGACAAACAAATTCACCAAAGTGTAAGTAAAGTGTTTTGATTTTTTAGGAAGAGAGTCTGGTTCAGTCCACACGATGATGAAAATCATTGTTCATGCAAACAGTCAAGCTAACGATCAGTTGTTTATTTTTTCAGACTGATTTGTAATCTAAACTTGTGCTTGAGTTGGGCTAAAGAAATCAATTTCATTTCTTTTTTTTTATTAATTTTAGAAGACTTATTTAAGGGGTTAATTACAAAAATAAATTAGCTGTTTTATCATCTGATTGGCTAGGACATTCTTAACTTATTTTTAATTTTACAAAGTTGATTTAAACCAAAAAAAAACCTACAAAAATCCTGTCATGCTTTAATGCAAAAGCAAAAGAAGGTGGGTTGTAATAATTGACTCTGTATTAAGTCTGAGATGTCATTTTTTAACATTTCAACTTCCTGTCAGATTCAGCTAGCATTAGTAAGTCATTAAGGTACACAACTGATGGGCCTCTGGTATGATAATGGATGATGCTTTGTACAAGCATGCTGATGTAGTTTGTATTCTCACAGAACCATGGTCATCCATTCTAACTAAATGCTGTAGTAATGGAGATACATACAGGACGACAGTGTTGACAGTATCTTTGTGAGCCAATGGTGTTCAATATGATTCTCTTTTTATAAAAGGATTGTAAATGATGATAACCCTTGAAACATCGAGGACTGATTGACAGCTGAAGACTGGATATGTAAATACTTGGGTTCCAGGATTTCCATATAAGGTCCTGATTGTATAGAACTTTTCTAGGCAGATACAATCCTGCAGTCAGTGGGTGCTACAGCTAGTATTGTAGTGTTGGACACCTTTTATCTGTCCATATACAGAATGACATACAAGATGGGCGAGATACTCAAATTGTCAATCTAGTGCTTGATGGAGAGTCATTTAAGCAAAGTCAGCAGATTGACACGTCATGTTCACAGGAAGTCGGTCACCCCTTATCTGTTAGGTTTAATCATCACTGATCATTCAAACCTAATAGACTAGACATGTTTATGTTGATATCAGCATGAAACATTAACTCCAATTTATAACACAATCATCAGATAAAGAACAGCTTTAAATCATGTTAAAACATATTTAGTGATACTGAAACCTATAAAGAAAATTTATCTTATATTAATTTATTTTTCTTAAAATTTTAACTAATTTACAACAGATTTCAAGCGTATAAGGATACAATAAACCAATATGTCATTCTTTGTTTCACAACAATTTTTAGCTCCTTGTTCTGACAACTGTTATTTAATCATTTTTCCTTAAATGCTTCTTGTCTAGAGTGGCTGAAATAAATTTGACCAAATTGAGTCTGAAGTATTTTTTGCGATGAAAGAGATACAGCTAAGGACGAAAGGAATTTTTAAGTCCTAACTTGCTATGAATAAAATTCTGGCTGTCCTGTTTGGTACTGAGAAGCCGATACATACTGGAGAAATGTCTATGATATTACCTAGAGGAGCCATGGCTGTCAGTAGAGCATTTAACTACACAACCTCAGGTGAAGATCAGGACCATGGTAGTTTGTGTTTCTCAAGAAGGGGGTATATGGAATGGTCTGAGCTGTGTTAGTTGTGTCATTGGGCAAGATGCTTTACCCCCATTGCTCAGGATGGCATGTGAATGACCTCCCTGATGTTGTTCAGTGTTAGTCACCTGTTACTACAAGGAGTCCCAAATAGTAGCAATAAACCCAGCAAATGTGATCCAAATGTACTAACGTAACAATTTGCTATAGTTGCTACAAACCCTCCAGGCTTCTTGTTATATCTCACTTGTATAGTTAATTTTGATGGGATTCAAATTGGTGGTAAGGCTTTAAGTCTACTCAGGCCGGTGAAGTAGCCCACACAAGCTGTACTGTTGCTTTAGATTTAATGACCTCAGCATGGGCTTATCTTGTTAAGGATCAATAGGTTTTTCCGATTGACAGGGACACCACAGAGAGTAATTATACTATAAAATCAATGTTTCAGAACATGCTGAGGTGATGGAAGTCACGTATGCAATTCATTTATGAAAGGTCGGTCAAGTTGGCAAAATATTTAACAATCAAATAAAGACATAACAGCTGTCATTTCTTTGTTTTTTTTTTTTTTTTGTCATCAGTATCTAATCCATGTTCCTTGGTCTGATTTTTTCAGTGGATGTACATTGTACCATTTGTGCTGATAATGATGTTGGCATCCAGTGCTGATCCACAAGCAGCTGGTGGTGGATCATAGTCCACAGCATCAAAGTAAACTGACTGGATTGGAGAACTTGATCAGCTGAGTGGAACCGTGGATTAGAAATCAACATATCTACTGAACAAGAGGAGCTGTGGACTAGGGGAGAAGTAACAACAGAGGGCATTACCTGTTCTAACATATAGATGAAGGGGGTTGGGGCAAAAAAACATTTAAATATTGGATGAACAGGATGAGAGGAAATAGATTTAATTAAACTCAATTACGAAATAGAAGGAAAGGGGTTTGCTAAGAATAGAAAGGGACATTGAAAAGGTTTTGGGGTGTTTAAGAAAGGAAGGGGTATTCTTCGTATTCAGGGTTTCAAAGAATGAGAAGGGGCATTCTTAGGATTTCTAAGGGGTGTTCCCAGGATGGGGGATTCTAAGAATGGGAAAGTTCAGTGTTTGGTTGGAAGTGCCCAGGTTACCTGTAACAGGCTAAAAAATAAAGAAACATGTCTTTACCTTTGAAGTAGATGGCTTTTAGGTAATTATTTTTGGATTTCACAATAAATAAAGAAATTATGTGTTAAACTTTGTGTGTGAAACTTTGATATCTTATCAGTGTTATTAGTCCAGATTTACATTTTTGTCTGATGCATGGCTTGTCATATTCATAAGCAGTCCAAATATTAACATTGGCAGATTACAATTAAAATGTAGATCTATCTGATCAAAACACTTTTTTTCTTTAAATATATATATGTCAGATGACTGGATGAACTTGATTTATATCTTTAATACTTTCATTTTCCCAGATTAGCTGGTATGTTATTGAAGGTTAAGTGTTCTAGAAAGATGTTTTTGTTTTTGATATTATGTTGTGAGTCACCACTGTCAAGGGTAATGAATGGAGCACCTAGTGTAGTTGTTTCTTAGTCTGAAACTGTAACTGAAACTGGGTTCAGGACGAAGTTTGATCCATAGTTTGATGTATACTGTAAGGTAATTAATTTTTGTGGGAGTTTTGTTTTCATTGATTCCATTGGTATTGTTAATCCATGAATATGCGTGACCATGAAATTCCAAAATCAAGATTTACGTTAATTTCACCTCTTATAGACTTCAAAGTGCTTCTTACCAACAAAACCAAGTACCAACCAAACAGTGATTTCATTTCTTTTTTTATTCATATACCCATGGAAATCCCCAACAGTTGTCTGACTAGAATTATCTGTTGTGTTTGGCCTTCATTATATCCAGATGAATTGACATTGTCTGATGAATGTTAAGAATCAAATTAGAATAAGTCTGTCAGAAACTTTTTATATATCAGTAGGCATTTCCTCCTGTGCAGTTTCAAACAAGTTTATCACGCTGACATAGTTACCTTTTCAGAGTTTGGAAAAAGCAAGTTTAAAAAAACAATAGTACTTGTAAGGAAGGATGGACACGGATTAACTAAAGGGAGATAATTCTGTCAAACTTTGCTGGTGAAATATACAATCTATTAGGTATCTTTCAATAGCGTGAAAATGATACACAGCTCAATTAATATAAACCAAAAGATATAGAAGTCTAGCCAGCCCATTTATTTATGAAAGCACTCTCTTGTGGTCAAACTTAATCTAGAATATTGCTTTTTTTTTAATGGTGCGTGTTCAATTAATTTTAGTGCTAAACTGCATCATGTTAGCTGTGTATCTGATAGCAGAAAAAAAAATGTTGTTTCTGATCAGAATGTTTGGATAACTTTAAAAAGAATGCTGTTCATTACTAGTTTTGTTCTGTTGATTGAATTTAACATTTAAGGTAGGTTTTCAGCATCAAGCAACCAGCTACTTCGTACGTTAACAAAATGATACACAACCAGCTATTTCGTACATTGACAAAATGATCATTTACTAGAGTTTCATTTTCATGAGTCACAGCAAGATAAAACAGCGATGCATGTATTACAGGGCAAATTTGATTAAACATCCTGTAGGGAGTATTCATTATTCAATGTCGACAGGTGTACAGTATTTTTATTGTTATTTTCAATAAAGTATTGTATTCCAGAAAATGTATCCAGATAATTTTTTCCGAAAATCTCTCGACTTCTGTTAGTTTTACTGTGAAATGATTGGTAATGTATTTTATCTAATGTGTTTACAATAGGCAGTATACAAGGTATGATAGTAATGTATTTGATGTATGAAAAGTGTTTAAAAATTGTATAATATGAAAGTGTATAAAAAGTATTTATTACTATTGTATGTTGCATCAATGCTTGTTACACTTCGATTGCACATTCTCAATCATGTATTGCATTAATTAAACACAAAAATGTAGTTTGTTGTATAAATTTCCCATGAAGTGTAAAAAAAAAAAGTTCCATTTAGTACACATTGCGAAATGCTATCAAGCCATGATATCAGTATTCATAATACTAAGTGTGAAAATGTTTAACTAAGATGACTGACTGATTTGTGTCATAATTTAAGCTGTTTTCTATAACTGGGAAACTCCAGTTCCATTACACAAAGTGTGGAGATGTTCAACTGTGATGGTCAATTTATGTCATAATCTAAATGTAAATTTTTTTCTTGTAATAATTCAAGAAGCCACATTGCAAGATTTCATTTCTAAATATGGAAAATTGTTAAATCATTTCGTCGTTACATCTCGTAAAATACACTTGTATGGGTAATTTAGATGTTTACAGGATTCAAGTTGAGCGTGTGTAGCGTTATGATGTAAACACATTTAAGCAGTTTTCTTATCAAATTTTTTATTTTCTTTCCCCAACACAGCTGCATTACATTCCTAAAATATCCTTTCATGAGAGAGAAAATACTTGACTGAACCAATCGTATAACTGATGATGTATGAATACCTGTTCAACACTTTGACAGAAGAAGTAGAAGTATGGTTGTCATACTTTTATATTGTGCATTATCAGCCCTTGCTGTTATGAATCGAAACAGAGTGAAGTAGTGTGTGTTGGTGTGTGAAAAAAATTGTGTTCCTTAAGAAGTTACATGTATGAATCTGTGTGAACTGCATATAAAATCCAGTGGCAAAGTTTGAGATAAGTGTTGATGAATGACACGAGTATTTGTTCCAATAAAGAAGAAAAAAATCAATTGTTTTAACTTTTTAAAAATCCCTTTACAGCCAACAGTATCTTGTATCTCTCAGTGCTACTTGTCTCTCCCCAATCATATAGTACTACTTTCAATATTTCTTTAGAAAACTTCATATATACATTGGAATTTTCAAGATAGACACCACTTTTGTCCAGTTTATTTTGAAGCTCAATTTTAAATGTTTACAATGTAATTCTCTTTTCAGTTTAAATATTTCTCTATGTTTATGTGTTGAAGTTAAAACTTGTGCCAAAAGTTTAACAATTTGAAACAAAATGTAAAAACACTAAATTAAAACCCAGTGAATCGCAGGTAGGTTGTTTACAGGTCGCCATCTTGAAATATCCAGTAGACTTCTAGAACACATACACAACATTGCAACACCTATGGACTGAAATCAACCAAAGCAAACATCACTAGGCCAAAATCAGAACCTTTACCACTGGGCTTAAGTCTAATCCAACACCCATGGCTGAAATCTTTCTGTGATAATGGGCCAGAATTAAATTTACTTCTGCCATGACAGGGCAGAAATCCATCCCATCCAGGACCATCAATATCATGGATTTCTGTCAAAGTGCTGAAACAGGTGGAAAGTAGTCCGGCGTCTACCTAAATTTCTGGTCAGACTGAAATTAAATATTACTTACTATTTGGTTCTGTATCAAGTATATAATGCGTCACACATTTCTTAGTGCCTACCTAATGGTCTTGGTCAATTCAATTAAAGCTATTGTTCTTTTACAGTATTGACATGTCATTTAAAGCACATACTTAAAATGGTCCTTTCAAGTTGAAATAGTCAGTGGGAAGGCTTTTCTTTTTAAAATATGTATGTTGATTAATGTCACTTGCAGTTTTGGTTGGTTCACTCGTCAAAAATATGTATGGGAAATATGATGGATGGCATGGTATTGCAAAACATTTTTTTTCCCCCAAGAGATCTCCTCCAATAGTTCCTTAAGGGGAAATGCAAGACACTAGGGCTAATGAAATTCACAATTTTGGTAAAGCACCTTATAATACTTCCACTGATGAAGAGCATTTGATTCTACCATTCTGGGTGTTAAGAATTTTTTTTAACTCTGCACCCCAGGCCCCTTTGGGATGGGGAGTGTATAATTCATTATTTTGGTTATCTTAGACCAGGGAATGTTCCTACAAAGTTTCATTGAAATCGGTTTAGGGGTTTTTGAGAAGAAGTCAAAAGTTAACAGACACAAGACGCCAGACAAAGGTGATTGTAATTGGTCACCACAAGACTTTGTCTCAGGTGACTTGAAATCTACTTGCAGAAAATATATTTTATACTTTTGTATACTGTAAAGGTTATTTTTATAGTTCAAATTTTCTGCAGTTTAATCAAAAGCATGAAACAAAAAGAATATTATTTCCATGAAACTATTTTTCATAAGGTTCATCTATCCTCAAAAATCACAAGGAAAGAAACTGAACCCTTCAAAATAACCTTTACATTATCAAAGGCAATTGAAAATAACACCAAAGACTGGACTAGTTGTAGTCACCAACTGTTTTATTCAAAGAAGGCCCAAGATTTTATATGGTAACCATAAATTCCATGATTATCTCTACTCTCAAGCGGAGACCCTCAAGGGAACAAAAATAAGGAGTGAGAAAATAAGTAAAGAAAAATGAACAAATCTATGCTTATGGGATATTTCTTCTGAAACATTTTTTTTAAATCATATTTTGTTTTTTTACAATTTTTTTACATATTTTTTTTCAAGTGAAATAAGAGTAACTGCTTCAAACTTAGCATTCATATAATGACATGACGGAAACTTGACGCATCAAAACTTCTATATCACTTGGAGTTTTGCATCTGAATAAAAAATCCTTATGTATCATGTAAATCGAGTTGCACTTTGAACTTCAGCTGTTTTTGCAAGTTGGACAACACATAGTTTCTGTAGTCTTTTGATCGTTAATCACAGCACTAAGTTTTGACTTTGTAATGCTTCGTTTTAACAAATATTTGGCCTCCACGAAACTAATGTATTAATGCCATACACCTGTGAGCTCTCGAGGACTAGCTCAAGGACACACATGTTCACTGTCATCATTATGCCTTTTGATTGTTGTGGTTCTTGTCTCGATTTCCATAATGAGTACATGAAAGGAAAATGTTCGTGTTGATTGCTGTTGAAGTTGCCATACCACATCTACAATACTCACAACTGTTACCATAGCAACATAGTACCCACTATCCAATGCTGAATAAGAAGGTGTGGATAAATGGTTGTAGTTCTTTTTCATAATGCACGATTCACTAAAATAAGGAAATTCGCCGGACAAATAACATAAAAAATTAAATAAAAAAAGACAGGAAAAGAAAAAGCAATCATGCACTGTGACAAAATTCTTGATTTGATTGGTTTTCATCCACAACTTAGAATTCATATTGAACAGACATGAGCTGAGGAAAACTCCACTACTACATCCAGTCTGTTATTATCACGTGATGGTCATGTGACCTCAGGCAGTCTGCTGCTGTGGGGGACGCCCAAATCCTCCACCTTGTCCTCCTCTGGAGTTCCCACGAGCCGAACCTCTTGGTGCACCACCCCTTGGAGCTACATTATACAAAGAAATGCACAAGTTACAACCAAATATGTTCTATCTTTGATGTAAAGATTTCTTTCCAAAACAACATAAAGATAAAAATGCTTTAATACCTGTAAAATGAATCCAAGATGAAATTTCAACATTCCTGATAAATGTGAAAATATCATCTTAAGTAAACAACTGTGCAAAATACACAAGAAATTTTCATACGATATTTGCTAAAGTAAAGCAGAGAAAGTTTTTGTACATTTTCAAAAATGTCAGTTTAAGTCTTAAAGGTGAAGAGACTTTGTATAGGTGGCACTATAACAAGGAACACATTATGAAAGCAGTCTGTTTGCTTGGAATTCCCTAAGCTATCTATACTTGGATTTTTTATTCAAATTTTTCTCTGCAATTTTGTTTGGATTAGATCATAAAATCGTCATGGGTCTGTTAAATAATTTCTAAAAAATAATCAAAATATGATAAGAGTTTCTACAAGTGGTCATAGTCATAAAAAAGTCCCTGAAAAATATTTGTGATGATAACCACTCCTCCAAGTCTTTCTACATCAATACCAGACATTGCCTACATGAAGCTGCTATCCTTGAAATGCATTTGTCTCATATCTATATTTATTCGCTACCAAGTTCAAAAATAGGAATTTCTTTTCTCAAATTTTGTCACAATGCTGATGTATACCACCAGAAATCAGTACAGAATGACACCTTAGGTCAGTGAATGATACTGGTAAATTTATAGCCACCTTGGTAAGTGTCTCCTTTGATCAGTGAATGGTTAATGAATGTCTCCTTTCACAAGTGAATTGGTGAATGAAAATGGCAGAGAGAACTAGTGTCAGATAAGTAAACATATTTTCAACAACATTGATCGTAATGCATTACTGACATTTAACATTTGGTCATTGTGGTTAGGGCAAGGAGTTGGTTGGGATGGCACAATCACAATTTCAAGATTGGATATGAATAAAAAAAAAGTTTTCAAATGTATCACACATCAAATACAAAATAAATTTGTGTACAACATGCAAGGAAAAAATGAAATAACATCATGCAGATATTTTCCTACACGTTTTACATCTCAAACTCCATCCAGCTAAGTCACAAATTTTTCTTATATTATATTATATTTTTCTTTGATCAAACTGTATGCTAACAAGACCAACTTCTTTGGAGTCAGTTTTATCAAAGTGGTGTAGATTAAAGTACATATTATAATCTAAAATGTCAAAACTAGACAATATATGAAAATGATTGTGTACGAGGCCTATCTAAAGGATAATTTATCATGACACACACCTCCTCCTCTATTGTTTCCCCTTGCTTGGCCTCCACCCCCACGCTTTTGGAATCCACCACTGTTGTTATTGCCTCCAAAGTTGCCGTTGTAATTTTGATATCCATCTGACCTATTGTTGTAGTCATTGGAGCGTGGAGGGAAGCCCTGGAAAGCCCCTGTAATAGAAGTATAAGGTCACTAACATGGCTGCGCTGCAGGCAGACTTAGATGTCTCAGCCCCAATTAGTGACAGCAGTATTCTTTGGATTCATTTGGAAACTAGACATAAATTAATTCAATTTCACATACCACTACTATTTACTAAAATAAATTTTAATGTTCCCCTAAAAATTCATTTTCCTTCATAGGTTTACTTCATTCATATCCTACTTGATCAGTTGAATATCTGGTCCTCATCAACATTTCCTTTATTATGACCACTTAAATGTTTTAATTTTTTCTATGTTACATGACAAAAAGCTGTAAAATAACTATAAATGTTTAAACGTACTTTATCAAAATTGTCTGCCTATTTCCTCTAAAAACTTATAAATATATTGTCAAAGAAATTCTTTTCACTGAAATATTGATTCATTCCTTAATTATTTCAATATCTATTTGATTTACTAAGAACAGAACCTGAAGCATGCAAAATAAAAGAAAAATGGGTCTAATGTAAAAAGGTAATAAATAAAGACACAAAGCCATCCATTATCATTGGGATAACTGGAAGGGGAACATACTTTTGTCTTGATCAAAGGTGATGACAAATCATACCATCAATCTATTCAGGGTTTTATTTCCAGATGACTATCAAAATTACCAAATTTTATTGCATTGGATAAAAGAACTGAAAATTTCATGCAAAACTACTCTTCATTCATTGTTCACAACAAGTTTTGAAAAATGGTATGATTCGTCACAAGAATCAAAACAAAATGAAAGTGTTAATAATAATAATAATAATTAGATGACTGACCACTCTGACCACCGCCTCTATTGCCACTGTAGGAGTTGCCTCCCCTTGCACCGCGACCTCCACCAAATCCGTTGGCCATATTTCCACCACGTTCACCACCTCCTCGATTGTTCTTTACTCTGAATCCACTGCCACTGCTGCCTCTGTTGCCACGGTAACTTGAATTGTAATTGTTTCCTGTAAATGTAAGATTTCAAAAATCTTTCATGTCCTTATGCAATGAAATTTTAAACTGAATATCTATTAAGTTTATACAAAAGGAAGGATGGGACCATTGCCAACAGCAATTGATGTAGTAGTGTAGAGGTTTACCCCACAATTGGGACAAAATGGATGGCCTGCAAAAAGTACACAATGTAGTGAAACACCACAAAGTCTTAAGGATCACAAATTAACATTTTGTCCTGTTATATTTTACAAAGTCATTTGTTGATGATGCCAAAAAATACAAGAAAATTTGCCAGAATCATATTAAAATGGTCTGACTAATCCAAAACCACTAAACACTGAATCAGGTGACCCCTGTGTCATCTAAAGGGATCTCTCAGTAGGTGAATCAGACAGAACACATGTGGCACATAGTTTACCCTGATCTAGAGTAGCAGAATTTTTACCAGGTATAAGGTTCAAAGAACCAGATGTAGCCAACTTCTAACTTTTCTGCATATGCAACATATATTCAGAAGACTAACCCTTCTGCTGCATCACAGACATAAATATATTGTATAGCTGTTTAATTAATGTAAGTTAATATTTCAGTTGTTACAGGTTAAACAAGTTCACAGGTGTTAAATTTTGTACATGTTTGTAAACTGATCTTCACTTATACAGGCATGGCAGATATTTTTTTGAGAATTTTATTCACACCATCTTTCTTGAAATGGTGGTCAGTCAGGAGCTGAAAAAAGTATGAGTTAAACCAAAATTAATTTCTTAAGAATTTTTTACCTTTATTGCTAATTAAAAGTGCACATTAAGCTAGTGCAGTGTTTGCTAGAAAGAAAGACAGCATTTAAAATATGTCTTTTAGTGTACAGACAAGTAAATACAAGGCATTGAAGTATCACAGTTCACGATGTTGTTGCATTGTATGTAATTTTTTTATTTGAGTTGAATCCTGATGTTTTATGTTTCAGAATAAGGAAGATAAAGTTTCCTTATTAGTAACTTTTCCCAATTCAACAGAAAATTGTTAGGTTTGGGTTATTTTTTTAATACCTGTATATTGTAGAATTTCACAATAAATTTGTTTTGATCTTTGGCTCACACCAAGAAACGTTTTAAGCTGATACACCCCTTCAAACCATATTTCCCAGCAGAACAGGCATATCCCATTCTTCTCCAGCACCTTACTCTTCACTAAACTATTGGAATTCGCTCCTTAAAAAGACCAACAGTCTCTGCAAGCCTCTAAGTTCTGATCATTAAAACTTGCTCAAGTGATTTAATTTTAGGCGACTCTATTCTCCCTGGCCATTAATGGAATGAAAGAGTTTGCTTAAACTTGTGGTTCAAGATCATCTCAGATCATAATCTTCAGATACTTCTGTTTGTTAAAGTCTGTTGTTGTTAAGTGACATGATGCCATAATTTAAATAAGGCCTTGACCTTTGACTTACCCTGATAGTTTTGCCTTCCAAAGTCTCCCTGTTGTTGACCAAATTCCTCCTGAGCTGGTGTGGATGATGCACTGTACAATTGGGATTGGAACATCTCTGCATTTGGATTCATCGTAAATTTCTTTTCTGCTTGGGTGTCGGTTGACGATTCCTGACCAGCGCAAGAAAAACATTATTTCATCAATTGCTACATTTAAAACGAAGTTTCAACAAGAGAATTTCTCATATTTTTTTCATATATGTGAATGCTGATTCTCATCTAACAGTTTAGTATATAGCTAATACATCTTTGGAATATAAAATGTTGCAACTGGGTAAAAGCAACAGATAAAATTTCAAAACACTTTTCGCAATAAGTACATAACACTAATAAAAGACCATTTCGTTAATATATGTATATATAGCAGTCATATCATAATGCCAACTTAACATTTGAACAAATTAATATGTTCGATATATAGATACAAAGTAAGACCTTTGCACTGCAGAGGCTTAAATACCTTTTTTCAATGCAATCAAATCAATCTTTATTGTTTTGCTTCATACTTTACTGTGAAATTCAACCAACAGGAAAGGCATCAATTACCAAGGCCCCAGTTGGACATGAGAAAAGCATGAATTTAGGAGGGAATTTTGAAGTTGACAGTATGATCAGTACTCAACATAAAGACGACGATTAATTAAGCAAATAACACCTCATGTACACCTTCTATTAGTATCAACATTAGCCTTTAGTAGCCATGTTGAAAATCCTATGATACATATACACTTATTTAACAAATCTTAATCGACTACAATCCACACTGGACTCCTTAAATTTATCTGACATTTTTGAAAGAGATGAAATCAGTAGAAATTTATACCTTGTCTAATGTAAAAAAACAAGTTTTTTATTAAATGTTAAGAGGGTTTCAACATGATGAATGCACCATCAGTGTTCCTCATTATCCCTGAACTAGAGTACAGCTCCCCCCACCTCCATCTGTAAAATTCAAGACCTGTGACCCCAGTTTTCATTGACTCTCCTATATGAATACATTGCTATAGGTAAACTGTATCCCCAAGTTCAAAGAAAGCACACTGCATCACTGTTTCTTACAACTTACCTGTGCATTTGACTGTAATCCAGGAGGCAATGGGATGCTTGGTGGAATTTCATATTTAGATATTGAATTGTCATTTGATTTTCCCATCACACTTTGTGCAAGTTGGGAGGAGGAATCTTTCACAGCAGAGGAAGGAAAAAGGGCATCACTTTGTAAACTCTGTCCAAATGTTTGAGAGGGAAAGTCATTTGTGCCCCCAAGGGACGACTGTTGCTTTGAAAGCAAGGATTGTGTGGATTCTTTATTTGATGAGGTGAGATCATGTGGTGCCTGTTGGGCAAGGTCTCCAAACCCTTGATTGGAGAATGTCTGTGATGATAAACTTTCAGTTTGATGTCCAAGTGGGGCAGGAGGCATTGGATGGGCTGCCACCACTGCAGGGTCCATGTGTGGTGACTCCATGTCAAGTGTGGATTCCTGTAGGAAGTTGAAGTTACCTTGAACTTTGGATACTATATCTTGGAATGGTCGTGGATTGTAAGCATTGTCTTGTGTCTGGTCCTGCTGCTGTTGCTGGGTTGCTGTCACTGTGGATACTTCTGCCGGATTTGTTGCTGTTGCCTTAGAAAAGAATGAGTCTGCCTCAGCCATGGTGGCATATTCGGCCTGCTGTTGCACACTACTTTGACTAGCCTCGTTGGTTTGTTCAATCTGTTGTTCATCAATGACCTGTGGTGGAAGTGATGCCTGAACTTCTACAGAATCTGCTTGAGGGACTTCACTGGAATTGACCACAATAAATTCCTGATCACCAGTAGCATCCTCTGTTGCCTCTTCCTCTTCAGCAGCGGCTTTCTCAAAGTAGCCACAGTTGTTGATGAGATCAAGCAGTTCATTAAGATCCTTGTAGTTTGTTCCGACGACTTCCTTCTCCTTAGCATCCAGCAGACATAGAAGGTGCTCTGAAGCCTGGTTGAGTTGTTCTGCGTAGTTCTCGCTATCACGTGATGGACTGATAAGTTTATATAACTCATCTAGGTGTGTTAGATTTTCTTCCGTCAGAACCTACAAAGATTTTTTAAAAATACACTTCCATATTGAAGATTGTTTTAAACTTTGTTATCAAGTTAAGAAGTTCGCAACTGTGATAATTTCAGTTCGCTTTCCAAAGTGGTAGACTAGTCCAATGTATTTCCAATCTATATAGGTTTCCTCTGGACTTTAAACATTTTATTGTAGTAAAGTCACAAAGCAATTTACTATTAGAAAGACATGCTATGTTTTGAAATATTAGGTGACTATCAATTTCTTAGTGAACCATAAAATTCTTTTCCTAAATCAACATGGAGTATAGTATCTGATGTAACTGCTTACCACTGCACCATGTTTGCCGGTCTGAAAGTCACTTCGGACTTTATCAGACCCCATACTATCCAGCAGGTTCTGAACCTTCAGCATCTCCTGCATGCGTTTCAGAACCATATTCTGTCGCTCTATCTTTTCTCTCTTCAGTTGCTTCTTCATCATCTTCTCTGCCTAAAATTACATAAAAAGGACGATTGTGTATGGAAAGAACATTTTCACTAACAAAGTTTGCTAGCATCCCATATTTCAGAGTGATCCTTCCAATTTTAAGCAAATTTTAACATATTACTTCAGTTTTCAGCAAAATATCATTCACAATTAAGAAGAAGAATTTGTGCATCAGCTAGAACTGCTTCATATTTTGTTTCAAATCTTAATTTGTCAAAAGAAGTTGAAAAATATACTTTATGAAGGATTGGAAATTACAATAAGTATATCAAAATTCCATCCATATTTCTCTTCTCCAAGACTGATGGTGTGTTTTGCTAAAGCACAATCTTAAAGTGGGAGACAATTCAAACAATGATTTTAGATATATTTATACCTTAAAGCTAGCATGATAAAATATGTAAACCTTACATAGATACGTACATGTAGAAAGCTCTGTTCGAATGACAAAAGTTAGTCAAACTTGCTTACTTACATCAGCACTAATGCTTAAGAACTGTTTCTGCAGATCTCTAGCGAATTCTAGTGTCTGCATGACCTCGTCATACTTGTCAACAGCCGCCTGTTGGGGATAGAAAAAAATCACTGTAATTGAACTCAGCCACTAAACATGCATTAAGAAGTAATACAAAATAGCAATATATTTCAATGATTGACAGAAATTTGCCTGCTGTGTTACCTGACCACAATGAAACTCCTGAAAACTATATATTATTCGGCAAACATAAATGTTTCAGGTTTGTAGCAGAAACAATCATGTGTAGCATTTCTAATATACCTTAAACAAATTTTAATAATTGCATTCCAATAATAAAATCAAAGGAAAAACGAACACTTTTAGACCTGTTTGATTCACTAACTGCTGCAATATCATGGCATATTGAACAGCCTTCCCAACATTTTTTCAATCAAAACATTTTTTCATCAGTCATGTTTTTCCCTTAAAAATTGAATCTTCACTTCTTCACTCTTCCTGTTTTTAAATGCTGAGAAATATGAAAATTCCTTTAAGAAACAACAATAATAACTTTAACTGCCAAATCCAAAATGGTTGCATAGTTCATCTGATCAGTCCCAAAATCAGGAGGGCTAAACTAGGGACCAAAGGAAAACCTCTCCAGCAATTCTCATCTAATGAAGTGGGCTAAAAATAGGATTATTTATAATATCCGTCAAAAAAATGGTAAATAGTATTGTACTTACCTGTTGGTCTTTCTCCAACTTTGTTCCAGAATCTGCTTTGGCTTTATAGCCATCCAGCTTCACCTTAAAACAAATATACAATCGAGGCATTAACATCAATATAACACTGGAATCTTCCATCTGCAAGAATTTGGTTGTAATAAACTGGAAATATGCAAATAAGTCTATTTAATGACTGTTAACCTTTAAGAATATTTTCTTTTCTATGACAAGTTTTTAATAATTTCATAAAAGTAACATTGAAAATTAAATATCTGGAGATAAAATTTTAGGATTTGCAAAGTATCTGAATACAACAATTCATGCATCAAATATTGATACTTTGTTACATATTGTTTGAACTGATAGCACCAGTACAGCATCAGTTTGCATTGTACATATCCTTTGTTCATTTTGATTCCGCAGTTCTATTACATATATCAATGATTGTGCTTTCAAGTTTCAGCACTCCAATGGAATTGATTGCCAAGAGGGTAATTACCCTCAAAGTTGAAAAGTTAGGAGTGAAATTATCTTTTACTTTCCAAAATGAGAAGGAAACTTTGTTAGTATGTCATCTGTTTCTAATCGTTATACACATGTAATTCTAATTCTTAATGTGTTTTGCTTAAGCCTAGGCATTGTCCCATGTGTACAACATAGACAAAGGTGTGTTCCGATCCTGGCCTTGGTAAAACTTCCTATCATGCCCTTAGTAAAACTCATAAATTACCAGACCAATGATCTGGGCTTAATGAATTTTACACTCTACTACAGACTAATTAAAAAACCCTGGATCTTGGATCGGTCTTCAAAGTATACCTTGATAAAAAGTTGACAAGAAAAATACCATTCCATAACAAAACTAAGGAACAAATTATCATGCTCAACTGTGAACAGAGTAGAGTTCTGTCAATGTTTATTAATTTACTAAAAATATCATTCATTATTCTCTACTGTTATGTGGTTAGACTGAAATCACTACTACCAGTACATACATTTATAAACTGTATAAAACTACAATTATTTTTTAATTATATACTTATCAACCATTATGTCCTATATCCTTCCTTCCTTTCTCCTTGTTAACTAAACATCTGCCTTCTCCATGTAAAAAAAACACTTCTCCTAAACTACCTCTCTGTTCTTTCTCTTTAGAATATTCCTTCATTTTTCTAGAATATAATTGCTAATTTATACAAGGTAACCGGTTTACTTAATCTAAACCACTTGTCTCTATTTTCCTTTTCTACTATAATGTATAATCTATATTATCTATGATATAAAAAAATGAAAGAGTTAAAACCAATGCCAAATACTACTGCAATTTGTATGAATACAATTTCTTCTGCATAGTCACACCACATTGACAAATTTTTCATGTATAATTTTACAAAAAGGTTTTGTGTGTAATGCAAAAAGGACACATTTAACCTGGAGCACTGGGTTTATCTTTTTAATTAACCTTGAAACTTAAAGCCAGATGCTCAACATTATGAAGAGATCTTAAACATATGATAATGGGGGATTCTATGTAATTTGAATCGTAAATAAAATACCTTTAGGAAATAAACTAGACAGAAAGTTTTTAATTTAGTTCAGTTCTGACTATGCTACTTTACACACAAACGAAAGATATCTATCAACAATTTTTAGACAGTGACCTACTCAAGATTCGGAATGAAGATCGAGTATAAACAATATTTTCAGGAGCATCACAGCATTTTTATGAACGTTCTACTTTGCAGCATGAAGTGCCATTGAAATTTTCCTAGTGCACCAACACTCAGCCCCAAGACCAAACACATCAGAAATTTATGCTAAATAAATTACTTCTACATATGACTGAACAGACTTTCAATGAAAATTACTACTTGCGAATACATCTATTAAGCCTACTTCAGTACACGTTATTGGACTCTCCTCCCCTCGAAGTCAACGGAAAGTACATTTAATGAGGAATGTGTCGATCCGCTAAAGAAAAGTGTTAAATTTGATTTTAATATTTCGTTTAAGTTTCCATAAACAAAACAATATCTTCCTTTACACGTATTAAGCGACATGGATTTCTAGATTATCTTCCTCAATTTACAACATGCTTTATATGTGGGCCGCCATTTTGAAATAGAAGCCGGATTGTATGCCAGTTATGTTCACAGTAATAAATCTGATCATAATGCTTCACGTTTACCAATATCGCCACAAAATAGAGCATTTGTTTGAACCTTAATAAGGAAACATATATGATCAATGATTGTAGTGAACCGCCGTCATGATCGATTGGTAAATACGAGCACCGATTCCATGACACAATTAGAAATATGACTAATTTGTTTCTCGAAAATTCCAATTCTTATTATATTTAAGCACCAAAAACAATACCTTTCGCTTTTCCAAATTGCGGACTTTCTTTTCCACAACCTGGATAACTTGTTTGATTGGTTCATTCGCCTCATATGAGGCTTTATCGGGTTTTGTAGACGCAGCAGGCATCGTTCAACAGCAACAACTCGGCATAAAGACAGTTCACGTGCTCACAATCGTCAAATTTTACCACATTCCCAAATGGTCTAACTGAGAATGTTCGTTTTCTTGTTTAAAACACATTAGAGACAAGCTGAAGCATATGTTGATACTAGCAGACATTTTATTCCGAAAAATAACAATTGTACAACTATATCACGCCTTTACTGTGCATAAATTATTCTTATAATTCTAAACGGCCGTTTGAGATTAGGGTAAATGCTAAAAGTGATGTAATTTCTGGATGTTTTTTTCTCAGTCACACTCATCTTTCCGGGCTATGTAAATACTTCTACCATATTTCAAATCATTTTTAATTGCCAAGGCGTTCCTGGTTAGCACATGTGAATCTATACGCCTTTGCATGATGCAATATTTAATATATTAGTAACTGATTGGTATTTTTAGTTCTTTTGAATTTGGGACAGTCTCACTATTTAAAACAAAAACAAACAAAACACATTCATGCTTGAAAAAGAGTCAGTACAACTGAAACTCTTGCTGGAACGAACGCTGATTAAGTAATTCTTGGTAAACTAACTTGTAAGATACTCGGACACGTAGGTAGAAATATATGTATCCGCTATACATGTATATGTTTTTTAATTTACTCTCTTTCATCCCGTGAATGTTTAATCAATGTTATGAAACAAATTATAATCTTAATGTATCTGACGTCCGTAATAGGCTAATTGACGCAATGCTTTTCGCATTAAACGTAAACTATCCTAGACTAACCTAATTAAACCATCAAAAATATTTCATCACATGCTTACAACTGACTCGTTTTGAAAGGCATATTGAATCCATTTATTAGAGCTGAGATACTGTGATGGGGAAGCTGGCACTGAAAGATGCTCCCTTACCATACTTCCCATGACATAACAATTTTACGTTCGTGTTTAGTGTTTGACGTTAGAATGCCATAGATAGCTGCATCTTGTGTAAACGTCGAAAGCCTAAGCAATTGGAGCTAGAGCACAGCTTACATATAAAACATGTCGAATACAAGCGTTATATAATATTTATTTATTTTACAACAACTGCGAAACAAGTTATTTCAACTTATACTAATCACTCTTGTTGGCCCGGATGTAAGCGCGCGAGGGGTCTTATTGTGGGAAGAAACCGGAGTACCCGGGGGAAAACCCACGTGGTCGGACAGGAGACCCTTACCTTTTCACGTCCGTTCCAGGAGTCGAACTCCGGACAGCTAGGTGAAAGGCGAGTGCGTTACCACTGCGGCCTCCCCAATACATGCTCTTCTGAGCACATGTTAATTACTTATTAACCATGTTCGATTATAAATATATTATGAATCTGTAGAAAATGACCACAATAAAAAAAAGAATGCTAGAACAGCATTTCATTATATAAACTCAGAACACGTATAAAACTGTGTGTCTTGTTTGTCTTTCAACTTTTTTTCTCTTTTTTTTTTTTTAACAAAATAATGACAAATTGTTAGAAAAAAGGTGCGTTATACAACTGTGCTACCCGGCTAGTTCTAAAAGCTATTTACGATGTTTTACTAATTGTACAAGTTAAGTTAGGACAGGTGAACACGAAAAAATCTCACCTGCTTTACACGAGAAGAAGAAGACGACAGCTTTCGGTCACAACGAGAGATTCTGAGGTTGTGAAATCACTTCGAGAGACTTCAATAATACAAATATATGGCGGGAACCTTAACGTCGTGAAGTCGTCACAGAACATTTCAAGGCCGCGAAACCGTGAACAAGGGGTATTTCACTGAAGGTTGAAATGTCACTTCGGGAGACGTTAATATGTCAACTATTCATGACGGGAAATTTCAAGGAGCAAATTCACCACGGGAGACTTTAAAGTTTCGACTAGACATGGAGGCAATCTCCATGGTTGCGAAGTCACGTTGGGAGACATTAAGAACACTGCAAAGATACGATGGAAGATTTCTAATTTCAGACATCAGGACACACCTTGACATGGAAGTACTCCAAAGGCAAAGAAAAAAGTCTGTTTGGATTCTAGAGTACCTTATAGTAAGAACAATCAGGACGTGCCCAGCCAAAGGAGCAATAGTCAACTGATGATCAGAATGAAGGTATTGTCACTGGCTACAAAGGTAAGATTCCCTTGGCCTCAAAGCGCCCACTAACCTGGCTTCAAGTCTCACAGATAATACTCTCACAGACTTCGGATCCTGTGTCCCTTTTGTAGGATAATCCCTTACATTTATTCTGGCATCCTAACCAGATGCTAAGGTGCTGGAAAAGATGAGTAGACGGAACTGCAAAATGAAGTCAAAGCGGAAGATGGCAATAATTAATTTGCGATAGTAGGCGAAACTTCGGATAAAAGGGAAGGACAAAACTTCGGAATACACGTACTTTGCCAAAAGGGCAACCAAAAGTTTGCAAGTGCTTTGCTTAATTTGTAGGAAAGTTTCATTCATAGACCAGTATACAACGACGTGCTCCAGAGCAAGAAGACTGCAAATATGTGTAATTTGCTGCTGGTAGAGTTCAAATCAATATTTGTAAATTTAGTCCAGATTTTCACTTCACCTTCAAACATTGTTTTATAATAGTGAATGTATACCTTTGTGCTGTATAGAGGTTAAAGGTTGTGGAAATTTCTTATCCAGGCGACAGAATTAGTTTTTAAGGCAATTATTGTTCTATTGAAATCATGTATTAGGAGATTGTGAAATGGTTTGTTCTCCCATTTTACTGGGGAAAAATCACATTCATGTCCACAAATACCAGTGGTCAAAATTGTTTTCCTTTGTCATTTGTTTTTCTGTCTTAATATACATATATATTGACTGCATTTTTGCTATTTTTCAGTAGCTGGGTAGCCAGAAGCCAAGAGAGAAAGAACCTTTAGTATTAGCATACAGAAATGGTTAAAAAGGGGTGAAAAAGCTTCAGTAAGCCTTGATCCATTTGGTATTATTTCAACATGCCCACAAAATAATCAGATCTGTTATAACATTGTCCAGTTTTTAAGAGGCAATTCCAATTGTATTGCTTTGTTTTTCTTTGTTTCTCATTGTGTATGGTTAATAAAGAAAGATAGAAAGAAGTTGAAAGGCCACCAAGTGACCATCTCTGATTTTTATATATGCCAGTTCCCACAGACTCTTAATACATTTGATATACAATTTTGATTTTTGAGATGGATTGAATGAAACACCGATTCTTTCATTCAATCCTCTTTGGGCTTAGAATCATTTGTCTGTATTATGCACTTGGTCATCCATGATACACTAACCCTAACTGGTGATTGGTCTTGGGCGGGTTTCAGAAGAGAAAAAAACTGACCAATCAGATTTATGTGACCTATAGATTTGTTTGATGTACAGTGACACAGCAATAGTGGCATCCGAGAAGTTATTTTGCTACACTGCTGATGACTGTTTTCTACAATACCAATTACATATGCTTTCCAGTATTCTAGGTCTACTTATGATATAGATATAGAGTTTTATTGGCCATTGTCAAATTTCAACTTCCCTACACTGCTGTGAGGTTTTAGATTAGCTACACAACTGCTCATTATTTACCATACTAAACTATGTTTGTGTCATTGGATGTCATGAACTACAACTCTTGCCTGTATGTATATTTACTGTCTCCCATTATAAATTATCTTAACTGTGATAACCATTTAAGTCTGTTAGGAATATGCAGTTTGTTGAGGATGAATTCAACCAACAGGCAAATACAGTGATGTTTTAGTAAGTAACAGGTTTAGATGAAGTACTATCAAGTTTGTTTAAATGAGTGAAGTGGACAACTTTGTATGTCATTTTAAACAGCTTATTCTAAGATTATCAACAGTCCCAAGGTTATGATACAAATATTGTCAATTCTCATTTATAATAAATTGCATGTCTCACTGGAATATGTCCCAAAGATAATAATAATACCTGGTAAGTACAAATACAAGTGAGAATTGTGATTAAGTTTGGATCTGTCAAGATTTCTTCAATATATACCAGGATGCAACCTTTTGGTATGTTTTATTACAAAAGTGACGCATTGATAACACCTGAATTGTCAGGATATTGTACTTGTTGCTGAGCATTAAGTTACCTGAAAAGCAAGCAGACAGAAGAAATTATCACACTGGAAGATTGTTTAAAGTATAGGCTGTGTGTGTAAATATAGGTTGGGTATAAGATATGCTCCAGTTCAGGGTTTTATACTTTTCTCATGGTTTAAAAAGGTGACTAGTAATAATAATGCCCCATAGTTAATCACTGTGTAAAATGGTTTTTTTTCTCAATCATAAAATGCTGGGTACCATGATCATGTAATGTACTAAACATGTTTAAAGTTAAAATTTTTACCTTGGGTATGAACAGTATGTACAAGAATTAGGCCTGCTTTGTGGTAATACTTAATCAACCTGAAAAACATAGTAAATTTTTTCCATCCCCCCTCCATTCTCCTCAATAAATTCACTATGTACATAAATACCTTGTCAAGTTTAAACATTGACATATTATCAGATTGATATACAAGTATCCTTTGACATGAAAGAAAAGTTTTAACATTATTTTAATTCTCAAAACTCACTCAAATATGACAAAGTTTGCACCCCACAATATAACTCCTGCAAGCAGTGATGAAAAATGTAACTGATATCTTAAAGTACTTGTTTCAATTTGACTAATGTACAAACTGAAATGGAAGTGAATACATTTCTCAAAATCTGAGGTTACACTAAAATGATGAGTTACTTCCCTTCTTTCAACTCTGTAATCCAAGCAAACATAACAAACAACGCACTTCATTCTATAAACTTTATTGCATTGTGACAAGGTCACAGGTTGTACCAGCAACAGTGAGACTGATTGCCTAGATTTTGTGTTTAGTGGGTTTTACTCAGTACTTCAACATTACATACACAAGAATACTTCTCTGGAAAACAATTACAATAATAATCTTATAATATTGAAAACAATTCTACTTTGGCAAAAATTATGTCATGCAACAAAAACTGTCCCAGTCTACATTCAATAACATCACATATGTGTGAAGAAATTCTCTACTTCTCATTAAAATTTTCTATGACTAACTTTGATTTTGAATTCAAGAACTAGACATTCTCCAAGAGGTAAATCTCAAAATCCTCTGCCATTTATACCTACAACAATCATGTCATTTAATATTTTATAATTGTTACACATAGATATTATTAATGACATATGAAAGTCATTAATGACACCATGAATGTCATTAACAGACCAATGCCTGCCAGTAACGACTCCATAAATGTCATTAATACTTCATTATCATCAAAATGATAACATACAGAATTTAATGAAGTGACATACGATCTAGTTAATTCTATAACTTTTTCAGGTGTGACAATGGTCCAGTTCTAATTTCAGAGCATTAACATTATTAATATAACTTCAAACACATTTTGAAAATTATAATCTATCTTGAGCGGACTTTGAAGTAAGTGAACGTTTCCAGAATATTTTAGTATTGCAATGAGCAAGAAAGTGTTCTTGGATTTCAAACAGATTATTGTTGAATATTTATCATGTCACCTATAATATGTCAATGGTATTATGTTTATTCAGTTGTCTTTCGCTTGTCTAATGTTATACACATCCTATACATCAGACTTGTCTACAAACACTATGTTGAAGACAATTTGCTGAGCATTTTGCTATTTTTCTACATCTCTTTTACTGAAGGCTGAATTTCTCAAAAATAATAAATTGCTAAATCACTGCATCAAGAGTTATGCCAGCATATCCTTTATCTGGGCATGGTTTAAGTCATTACAGAAATACTTCTGGCTTAAACATTTTCATAATTTATCAAATACCTCATTCTTTTCACTAAGAGCTATGCGTGCCATAAGCATCTATACATGCTAACAAAATACTTAAATTTCTGCTCTATCCATGATAACATTGACAGCAGCCGTATCTCATACTACTTTGAATTATTACTGCTTGACATGGAACCTAAGAATCAGTGGCTACATTTTTCATAATTGATTTGTAGCAGTTTATAGGACCATGAACTTTAAATGTAGTTCACTGTAACATAAACTGTTAGTACCAATCATGGTACAAGTACAGTTATCATCACCTGGTAAAACATTCTCCTGATGTAGACAAACCTACATCCAAGTTAATGATATGTTTAATATTTCTATACCCTACACCTACACAGATGTGTCAGTTCACTGTTATTTATACCATGCTCTAGGTTTCACTTAAAATGTATAATATCATGTTTCAAAACTGTACACATACAATATATATCAATTATACACGCAGGTACATAACCCTACTTTAAACACTACTTAAAGTAAACAATAACATGTTCATACCTATATCAAGTGATTTAGATCTAGTTTTTGTTGTGCTTGTAAATAATAAGTGGATTTTATACCGACAAGGATAATTCATGGACTATTAGTAAATACAGTGTTTTTTATACCTTATACAACAGAGTACTGCTGTATATTATGACTAGAAGACACCAAGGAATAGTGGTAACATTTTAGAAGGTAGTGATTATGTCTTATCAGCAACATACACAAGATATTGCGTTATATTTTGATATTAATTAGAAGCACCTCAGTCAGAAATGACCGATATGATATTGGTTACCACTAAATTATCTCCCTTTTATTTCAACCATAAGGATTTTATGAGAAAAAGGAAGTTCCACATTCCACACATTAAAAAAAAAAAACATAATTCATCAAATGATTATTGAAAAAGGAGGCATTCCTGCAGTTACATATCATTAAAGGTATATAACTTTTCAAGCATGAAGGATAATCTCAAGAATAAACAATAGTTTTGACTGAAGTACAATCAAAAAAACATTTTCTGTACTAATATTGTCTAATAACAGCATTGCTAAATTAGTCAAAGAATGTTTTATAAATAAATGAGTCCAACAATGAAAAAAGAAAATAAAAATTGAAGTATCTTGACTTCCTTTCAACAATGTTTGAACCATTATGAACGTCTATCCTATCAACATCCTAACAGAATAACAGAAAAGTTGATTTCTATACTTTACAGTGAAGTGCATGATTTGCTCCATTTCTGAAAATATTGTCATTATGATTATAGAGCAAATGGGGTAAAAAGCATGAATCTGTTTTGGAACAATGCTTGACCACTTCAGAATATCAACTCTTCAAAAAAGTGAGCTAAAAGTCACGGAAAGAACAACATAAAAAGCTTCACACAAAATTAATACAAACTCACACACATCTGAATAATTTTGTGTCCAGAAATAAATCTATAACATAATGTATATAGTCAACATCATATGGTCTTTCTCTCACAAGAGATGAAGACTAATGATATTTTCACTAACAGATTAATTGACAAAAGTAATCAAAATATTAATAAAAGGTAGCTTTTTCTTTTATCCTTTTCACAAGGATTACAAGAAAATAAAAAAAAATTCACCAAAGCAATAAATTCATGTTATGAAATATATCAAAATTAAAACAGAAAATTCAAACCAAGTTACTGAAGTTGGAGTATTGTAAACATGGATCCTTAATCATTATGGCACTGTTAGTTATAGTAAAATGCTGTGGCGTAGATTTGCTTGTTATACAACAGGAAGTAAATTACGTGGTGATAGTTGATTATAATTCAATGTTTACAATCCTAACTGATTCATCTCTGTCCAGGGGTGATATGATGGAACATATCCTGATTGAGATTAAAGAAACATTAAAAGATTAATTTCACTTTATATTTATATGTATTTTCACAAAGTACTTACTTATTTTTCTAGTTTATATTAATTGTTTCCATAAACACGTTTTGGTGTGACATCACAACTATTATACATAATCACTTGTCTGTGATGTCAGAATAAAGAAATACTGATTATTTGTATTCTTTTTTTTTCTTTTGAAATATTTCATTTGTGTTTCAAGCAACCATCAGTGAGATGGAAATGCAAAGCTTTATCTGAAATATAAATATTTTCCACAAAACATCTGCAATCCACAGCAACCCTGAGTAGTTCAACTAAAGTTTATCCATAAATGACTATTTTAAACCTTAAAACCCATTGATCTATGTTACATTTGCTTTGATGTATGCACAGTGAATATCTAGGCGCCATAGCTGGATTCAATGCTAAATACTGCACACAGCACAGTTATGTTTTCATGCCGTTTCCTTCTACATGAAGCATCCAACACTACAATTATAAATATAACATCTGGCTGTCTTGTAGCTCAATAAAATTTTATGCAGTAAGGTCTGATGAAGAATTGATATATCTGAGACCAAACCAATTGTGCTCTTTGATTTTAAGTTCTACTCCGAGTAGCTAACTTTGGTTATTTATGGGGCAATGACTTGATATCCATTAAAAGTCTGTTTTACCATGGGTATTTGATGTCAAAATATACAGTTAAGATCATATCAATGATACCACTTGTTCTCTTCTGTGGTTGGTAGAACTATTTAATTATCTATATGCTTCAGAGGAACATTTTATTCTGTGCAGTTAACATATGACAATTCCCTTTTACACTAAATTTCTGAAGTACTCTGTTTGATTTAACAAAACAATAAAATCCCCGAAATTCATTGCTGTTTTCCCTGCCTACAAGTCACTTCAGTAACCTATATCCGATGTAGGGTCCCAGCGTGGTTTTTCACCATGGCTGTAAATCTACACATCACATCCTATAACCTAGGTTTCTAAGCACCACTAAACAGCCATCTGGGTAAACACTGTGACTGAATTTAGTCACACCAAAATTTTCATATACACTCGAAAACCACCAAGTAGTGATTGGGTGTAATTTATAATCATTTTGACCACTGATATTTATACTTATATTTTGTGTATATATATACTATAAGATGCCATTTTCAACAAAGAAAAAGAACTCTTTCATGAAGTTGAATATTACCACAAAATAAATACAACTGTCAGTTTGTAGTTGGTTGTCCACATCATTCACTCTGTCCGTATTTACAAATGAAAGCACGTCAGTAAATGGTAAACTAGGGCACAGTAACCAGTCAGCATAGCCACACAGATCTTTTTCGTATAGCACACCATCTCTGCTGGCTTCTTAAGCAACATTTTTGGCTTTTTTTCCCTCCCGCAGTTATCTCCCTTCAATAAGAAAGGCATTTAACAGAAATTTTTGGATAATCCGTTATCACTGTAGTCTGGGCAAACCCCCATCACAGTACGCAACAAGTACATTATGTAAACACTCACTTGGGGTAAAGGTCTAGTTGTAATAACATTTGATACACATCAATGTACCATTTGGTGAACACAGAACAAGACCCTCGATAACTCTCTCACAGCAGAATATAACATTGTTGAGATCCTTCAGGATATGAGTAAGTTATACATAAAATATTAACATACAATTAACTATACATTGTGGTCTGCTATGTTCGGGAGATTTCATTACTGTCTGTGCCCTCATTTTGATTGGGATCAGGAAGTTGTTTTATCAAGGCCTTCATAAGGTCCTGCAATATGTCTGTTTCCTTGTCCTCCATCAGGTCAAACTTGATGTTAAACACAGTGAAGTGTGTGAAGAGACTGTTTAGATGTCCATGTATGCCCAGAGTGACAATATCACTATAATGAGCATGGTATATATGTGCAACTATATGGAACAGATACTTGTGGAACTTCTTCACAGATGTTTCAAACGTGTTTGGAAATGGATGTCCTGAAATATGAAAAAAGTATCTATGTTAATTTCCAAATCAATCTATAAAACTTATTACAACATAAAACTAATCTAAATGAAATATTCTGATGCACCTATGAATGGAAATATTGGAAATAGTTTTCACCATATCCTAATGCTAACAGCAAATTTGATTTCATTTGTCTTTGCTCAAGAGATTTTGATCAGAAATGAAACTTTTTGAATATGTTTTCACCATATCCTAATTCCAACAGCAAATTTTATTTCATGTAAGTGCCTTTGTTTGAGAGATTTTAATCAGGAATGAAAGACTTGGTGCAGGAAAATATATTGGAGTTATCCTAACTAAATCGTAATGATTTCAATATGATTTAGAGAATTTAAAGTTTCAATTAATCTTGATGTTTAAGTGTAAGATAAATAGTCAAGAGCAATCTTCATATTAAAATAGTACCAACAGCAAAGAAAGTAAACAATTTTAAAGCAATTTTAGTTTTACTGGGAACAAGGGCAAAGTAGGAGTTTTCCAGACAAAACTGAGTGCAACAGAAATATTTGTTAGGATCTGGAAACTATGGAATATCCCATGTAATTGTATTTTGAGAATTTTTTATATGAATTCATTACATTGGAGGTCTGCCACATCATTTCCAGTCTGAAGCATGCAAGTTTTTCTACGACCAATAACATATCACCAGTAATATCTTTATTAGATCTTCTTACCATACTTTGTAGGAAAGACATTCTCATCAGATATTTCCTTTTGCATGCAAGTTGTGATGAAATCCACATACTGGGGAGCCGAGTACTTATATTTCTTTCCTTTCTCATCATACCATAAAAATTGCCTGGAATTATAAGAAACATCATTAAACATATATGAAATAATGTAACAGTACTCCTAGGTAACATTTTATAACTGAAACTTTGCTCCATCGTTTGATGAATTAATGGTATTCTAAGATGTCACGGCACTTTCAGCAAATAAGTTGTTTCTACATGTATGGACTAATATACTCTCAGAACATTTAACATTTTTGAAATAATTTAAAACAAATTGCTGCAAAATCTGATGCCCTGGTAGTACTATTTTCATAAAAAATGAGTGTACAGACCAAATAATATGTACAGGTAATGTGACATGCACCTGTTTATCAAAGTATTGTAAAAATTGGCTGAAATATTGGCAGAAAAACGTAGCAGAGTATATGCAGAAACAAGAGGCTAATGGGCCTCAAATGTCATCTGATACCACTGTAATGGTTACAATCAACCTTAAAAGTATGTCATAATGTGCTTACATAGACAAGTTTTCTACTGTCCAATTATTCTACAGGAATAAGATGGATCCATAAAAAGATATAATAAAAAAATAAAAAGAAGTCAACAACAAAACAGACTATTCCTATGTATCACCGGAAAACTTGTAAACAACTCCATTATTTCTCACCTAAAACATATACCATGAAATTTACCTTTTTAACATCGGTGGATCCTTCAAGCATGACTGACATAAGTCTACCAGGGAATGATAATATATGAGAGAATGTAACATTATAATCTGTATCATGAGGAATTTATTATACCAAGGTCATATACAGCTGGTCCTACAAGATCCAGTTCTATTCAATTAAGATTTTTTTTAACTTCAGTATTTGTTAAACTGAATATTTAACTGATTTTCAAACTATTATCTCTAGATATCACTATAAGAGTTACAAATTTAAAAGTGTTTTTTTCTTTTCCTAAAATTTTGTGATTTAGTATATCAACAATTTTGTGGCATTAAAATAGATGTTCCAGTACTAGCAAACTATATTAAAGAGCTTTTATTTACAGTACTACCAACTTCGAATCTAATCATAGTCCTTCAAAACTAGGGGTGATGGGATGTTTTAAAGGGTCATCAAGGAAAAGCTCTAACACACAGAATCAATTCTATTGTTGAGTTATCACATCTGTATGTATTTGCATGATGTTCCAGATTATGTCTCAACATTATTTGACTTTCTTACATCTATAACTTGACATCAGATAATTCTTTCTGATTTAAGCAGGTAATGACATGATTATTATCAGGCTGACCTGATCAAATCAGGCTGAGTGGCAACACTGCATTTATCAACAATAAAGATAACACCTTAGGCATACACTTCAACTTAAATTTACCACAACAATCCACCTGATAGCCAATGTACAAATGATATGAAAAAATTTCATAACTATATGTATCCAGGTACTTGGTTGACTGGGGCTGAATACCAGACATGATGCTCACAATACAACAACACAAATTTCAATATCCCCATTCAGCTATGAGAAAATGAGTGGAATGGATAGTTTATTCAAATTTTCAAAGTTCAAGGGTCGTAACTCTGAAAAAATAAGTTGGCAAACAATCAAATAAAATCTTGACATCAAATTGTAGTTCAATATGAGTATCTTCTTCTGTTGAAAGAGTATTTGATAAATCATAGAAAACCAAATTGTGACAGAATAATGGCAAGAGGCAAAACCACATGTACTGGCCAGTTCATGGTGAAGGATAAAAAGTGTTTCAGATCTGTATCTTGACAATTAAAGTTTTACATATATCTCTGTCCACACAATCCAAGTTTCTGTCCAAGGTACATTGACCTGTCTATGGCTTTGCCATTTAACTTTATTTGTCTTTTCTACTTAATATGTTAATGCTATCCAAATACCAGATAAGAATAAGCACAATAGGAAGTTACATGACTGACAATGCCCCAGGGTAATTCAAAAGTGACAACACACCATCCACTAAATCTACCAACAAAAGCAGGAGTGAAATATACTAGACCCACCACAGAGCTGATCTCCCAAAACTAATCTAGCCAGTACAAACACTCAGTCCAGTTTATTTGTAAAATGTTGTTGTAATACAGATAGAAATATAAAGGCAACTGTCAGCTTTCACTTAAAGTCTTGTTTCAACTGTCTCCTCTCACAGTAGGATACAGGGATAAATTTACATAATAGTTATCTAGATTCATGCCAGGACAACTCTCCAGACCTCGGTGTATAATTTTAACATTAATGTGAAATGTCAGGACTTGTCTAATAAATAAGGTTGTTACCTCTAACACTCGCATTCAGTTACCTGTAAAACAAGTATTGCTTTTTCCGAGCAAGTGTCTTAGACCTTGAAAGGTAACATTATAGTATTTAGCATCAAGAGTGAACTATGATACCTGATCTAATCAGACAAACAGATCTCTGTTTCACTTACATAAGAATACCATACATTTTCTCTGAATAACAGCATAAACTGATTTCTGAAAAAACATCTTATTTTTCTACACCAGATTTCAACCAGTTTGTGGACTGTTAATAAATCTTTACATATGATCAATAACTTGACAAGTCACTTGTGGGTCAAACGTTTGCTAGGTCAAGGACTATTCAGAAATGTTATGATTTAAAGTGTGTTAAAAGTAAACAGATTTATCATATCTTTAGTGTCTTGTAACAGACTTGTTAAGACGCCCATAATAAAACTGTAAACTTTGCCCTCAACTCTACCAGGACAATAAATGCAATATGACAAGGTTCTGTGGTCATAAGTCATTGGCTCAAGGATACATCTAGACAGTACTATATACCACCTGAAGCATTTGGTTTTACTTTCCAAACTATCTCTACATATATATCTAAATGAAGGATGCTTTTTATTATCAACAGATTTATTTGTTGGCTTAAAAGTAACTTTTAAGATTTTCAAAAGAGTGTTTTTTCCCCTTGTGTTACATGTATTTTCAGAAAACTAATTCTTAATGTCTTGTGCTTGTATGGTAGCTCTGAATCTCTATTTGAAAATGTATACCATATTCACATTACCTGTTTCAAGGAACACTAAAGAATTTAAATAAATATATATAAATCAATGAAATAACGAGAGTACCACTGAAACCGCTGAATGTTTCCCGAAAACGACTTTATTGGACACAAAAGTTTGACAAAGGGCCATAATTCTGTAATTGTGGGGTTGCAGGCCCTGAATTTGGTATCCTGTGCATTATCTTAGTATGACCAATGTATATACCAATTTCATGATCTTAGTTTGATTGCAAGTAGAGATATGTTCATGCCAAAATATTTTAACAAAGGACGATAATTCTGTATTGAGGGATCATGGACCCTGACTTTGCCACATTACACATTGCATTTGTATGACTGATGTATACATCACATTTCAATATCTTTGTTTAAATGGAGGCAAAGTAATGCTCCTGACACAAACTTTCAACAAAGAGCAATAAACCTGTAATTAAGGGGTTTGGGCCCTAACACTTCATTACCCTACTTTAGATGCAAGCAAAGCTATGTTCTGTACAAGAAAATCTTAATAAGGTCTTAGCTCTATAATTGAGGGGTTGAGGGCTCTGAATTTGGTTCACAGTACATTGTCTTAGTAAAATCAATATATACAATAAGTTTCATGATGCTTAACTGTGGGCAAATGCTCCGGACGTGAAAAGATAGATGGACAGACAAATGCACAAGGCAGCAATTATATTCTACCCCAAATGTTTTGGGGAGCATAATAAAAAAAATAGCTCTGATTTTTTTTTACAATGATGGAGACCTTGTTTCCTTATAAAAATTGAAAAGCTTACTAATGAAACATAAGAACAATCATAACTTTTTATACAAATTATGTCAAAGAACCAAAAGAATGTAAGTCAGGACCTTTTATTTCAAAACATATTTTTGGAAATTACAATAGGCAACAAAATAATTCAAGCGCAAGACCAATAGAAACTGCTTACAGTTTCCAGATTCTGGGTTGTAAGTATCTTGTAACCCAAATCAGATTCTCAAAACAAGTTACAGTGTAGATTTATAACCAACTGACTCTGTCCAGATCCAATACAGAAGTTATTTACAAAAAAATATGTCAATAAGAACATCAGCCTCATCTACATTAATGATAAACACGGGTTTTATCATGTCAGACTGTCAGACAGTGTAACTGATTATCTCATAGTCTGTTTTGCAATGTTATTGTTTACATGATGTAACTTAACAACACTGATATAACATGTTTAGAGAGATAAAACTATGTACACCCTTTTTTACATAAAGAATCTGGACTCAAACATAGATACACAATATTATGAGTAGCGTTTTATGAAAAAAATGGGAAACCAGAAATCATTCCTCCATTTTCAAACTTTTCTGTGTCTAAAGAGGCATATCTTTATAAAATAGAAGTTCAGTGTCAATAAAGCAAGTTAAAAGTGACATCATTACGTTTGTGAATTTCTAAATCTGCTTATAGAAAATGAATCCTATTCAATTAAACATATTAGATTATATGGAAAACATAATTTGGTGCCACAACCAGGATTTATTATGAAAGTATGAAAACGCAATGCAGCATCTAAATACTGTTAGTGTCAGTGATCTGTGGAACAACCTTTTTATATACTTACACATTGCCTGGCGCAGACATAGATGGGCATCCTTCTGATGTACAGTATTCAGATATCACACCATAGATCAACGTTATATGATTGAAAAATGATAAAGCTGCAATGAGAAAAAAAAAAGAAATAAACAAAAAATCATTAATTTTAAAACATAGAATTAAAAAATCAAAATGTCTTTCTATGGCATTTCTATTTGCTATAAATGAGATTTCCAGATATTCAGTAAACTGTATAAAGGAAAATCTAAACACTTTAACATAGGAATGATGAAAAACGACCCCATTTTACATCCACTGTTTATATTCCATTCTGTCACCTTTGGTATCTGACATAAAAATATGATCACTTTGAAGAGGACTTAAAAGGAAATTAGATCTTAATATAGCATATGTATATCATAAATTACAACATGGTGCATTGTACTCATATGTGGATCTTTTAACAGCTATGTTTACAGCTTGGTTTGTTATTATATATGCAGGTTTATAGCGAGTATGTCAAGAGTGTGCTGTGTAACATATTGTCCTGTGAGGGTCATTTGTTAATATATTCTGAAGAAGACACAATAGCCTGACTACCTGGTACATTCCCAAGCTTCAACTCTGTAAAGAAGTGACAAATTTTACTTCCGTTTCCAACTGAAGATGATTTTTCGTTTACAAACATGATTACCATATTTATCAGGCAGTAACCCTATGTCCTGTAATAAGACCAACTACATCTGTTTCATTTTGGAAGAAATACCAACAAATGCAATATTATATTTTGTAACAAGCCAATCACCTACTTTTAGTAAAAGACAATGTTTCAGCCCCCTGGACTTATTTTAGGATAAATGGGGTATAACTTTATTTATCAACACAAATGAATGTTATCAGAAACTGAAATGATGAAGAAAGCTTGGTTCAATTTGTTGAATATGTATTTGTTAAGGATTTCAGGGGTTTTAACTCAAAAACTTAATACACTGTAAGTGTAAACATTGAAGTTTGTTTAAATTATAATCAGATCTTTTCCCTTTAAGAGAAAAGATAGACTTCTCTTTGAAACATAAAATGTGGTTATCAGTGTTAATAGAGCTACAACCATTTCTCACTACATAATCTATGAATGATAAGCATGAAAGAAACAACTTAATACTAACTAATCTTTTACAAATATTGTTTCTTAACAGTGTGTTTTGTGTACCATATAACTTTAAAAATTGCGGCAATTGAAGTACAAAACTGTCAGTACGTTGTTTCAATCAACACACTAAGGTTCACTGTTTCATCAATGAGCTAGTGAGCTATCAAGGCACCTGACTCACTGTTTCATCAATGAACTAGTGAGCTATCCGGCACCAGACTCACTTTTTTATCAATGAGCTAGTGATCTATCAAGGCACCTGACTCACTTTTGACATCAATGAGCTAGTGAGCTATCAAGGCACCTGACTCACTGTTTCATCAATGAGCAAGTGAGCTATCACGGCACCTGACTCACTTTTTTATCAATGAGCTAGTGATCTATCAAGGCACCTGACTCACTTTTGACATCAATGAGCTAGTGAGCTATCAAGGCACCTGACTCACTTTTTTATCAATGAGCTAGTGAACTATCACAGCACCTGACTCACTTTTCCATCAATGAGCTAATGAGCTATTAAGGCACCTGACTCACTTTTTTATCAATGAGCTAGTGAGCTATTAAGGCACCTGGCTCATTTCTAGATGTGAGGATTACAATTATAGTCAAAGAAAACAAGCAAGTCTCATCAAACTGTTAAGCTAATAATTCAGCACTGTAAAACTTTTGTTACACTGTAGAACACTCACTATGTGTTGCTAGCCATTCATTATAATCTAGACATGAAGGCAAACTGACAAGTTTGTAGAAATCGGCCTCTGTTACCCGTTCCCTCACACAACTATCCTCAAGGTACTGTCTTGGCTCTTCCTGTGCAGGAGGTGTTGGAGAATCTTTATCCTTTCTTCTGCCTTTCCTGAAAGCAGACAAGACACATGACATTAGTCAATCTTTATAAATAAAGACATTTATTCTTGTTTGAATGCCACAGCCTTTATAATAGTAATATCCCAATGGTAATTCACAACAATAGAATGGAGAGTGGCCATTTTCATAAGAGGGTGTAAAACTTTTTAAAAGATAAATCAAATATGCATTGCTAAAGGTGACACAATCTTGAATGATGTCTGACCTTGTCATGATGAATGTTCAAGAAGTAAATTCTCATACACTACACCAGTTTGAAGGTACATTCAACTTTGGGTGAGTTTATTCTGAAACACCCAAAGGATAACATGTACTGGTTCTCATGTAAACACTCCAAGACTGTCTGCTCATGACAATCAGTGACAGTTAAATCAGCCAGGAAGTACACCTGTTGCAGGAAAATGCGACAATGTTTACTGGTAATTCTACTGAACAATAATTTGAGCTTATTATCAGACACACATAGGCTTATTGCCAGATACCCCTGGTATATCCATGGACCTTCACTTGTGAATACATGTATTTCAGAACAAGTTAAGTCACCTCCTTACGAACTTTATGGTATTTTGATTTTATAACAGTTGACAAAGTACACATAAAGATATAAACTGTCCAATTATAAGTGAATGACATAATGGATGATAATTTGTTGTAAGTGCAGTAAACAAAGTTAAAAAAGGCACCTGCTAGAGAAGCTACACATATGAATTAGACTCAAGTTTTCTGAACTAAAAACAGACTTTGTCACACAAACACGACAGATAATAACCACTGTTCTTGAGTCAATCTAGGCATAACTAAGTGTGTTGACGGGAGATAGGAGACCTTAGTCTGGGATCACTTCAATAACATAATACATTTATGTAATCAATTCTGGGGATCACTTTTGACACACTCTTACAACAGATATAAACTTTCAGCGCAAACACAATGGAGTCAAGCTCATTTTTCCACAAAGCTGCACATTTGACAAAGATATGACAATTTTACTGAATCCAAATTTTCTTTACTTGTAAAGGACCATGACAAACACTGTATATGGTGACTTCAACCATACTGTAAAGCTGTAATTTCTCTGAGCCATATATGAACAAGAGTTCTGCAAGGCAGTAAATAATATGCTTGTCTTAGGTAAAATGAGCATTTTCCAAGGGGAAGGGAAGGAAAATGATTTTTAATGTCCATTATCAAATTAAAGTCATTTATAGACAATGTAAATGGCGCTAGCATTCAGAAATGACCCATGAAAACTACTTGATTTATCGAGAAGCTATCATGTTTACTCACTCACTTGATAACATAATACGATCCGTCTTTAGACGACATATATAAAGTGATTTTAAACATAAGTTCTGTCAATGTTTGAAGCAATATGATTTTAATATATTTAATGAAAATCAAATTAAATACTTCAGCCAAATCACAAGATCAAAAAGCCATTATGTCTTACTGCCTGAATTAGATCTAACTTTTCCCACTTCAACATCTTCATGCATAATTTTTTCCAAACCTAATTAAAAGGAAGTAAATATTTAGGAAAACAAAATAATTTAGTATCTGGCTTGGTCACCTACCCATGTGAACTCGGAATGTTCTTAATGCAAAGATATCTCTAATAGTATATAGAACATGTTTACATGACACATTTACGCGTGGTTATTTCTAAGAATAGAACCCAACTGATGTCGCTGGCTAATTAAGACTGATATACTGTCATCCACAGAGCATGGACACTAATCCAGAACAAGGCTCATGTATAAGGGACCCGTACATCATCCTTGTAAACACAGATTTCTACAGTATATAACATACTATTTGACAAAGGTCAACCAATGAATCTGCTTAATTGCTTTTTTTACACACTGAAAGTATATACTGTAACAATGTATCTTGTTGAAATACAACAATTTGCTTATGTTATTTCATTGAAACATTTTTTAAAATCTCCAGCTCAGAATGAAATTGGCCAGACTTAACTGTTATTTGAACTTACTTTTTTTTTGAGATATTCATCAATTACATCAATGCCTAATAAGGATAAACATAAATTATAAAAGCCATATATAACGATCTGTCTTTTCTATGACATCAAAATAGATAATCAAGCCATTACTGAAAACATCATATTGTGTTACCATGTAGGAAATAATGTAGGCCTACTGAGGTAGCAAAACTAACTGAAAAGCATCTGGATGTTTGATATGAAAGCGCTTAATATATAATGTATATTTCTTTATATATATCCAATCAAAATGGTTTGGAAAATAACTCTTCGTCTATTCCTATTGGTAGAAATACAACAAAACTGTGAACTCTTGTTCCTACATATGTAAATTTAACTAAGAACATCTCTCTTCTTGCAAACATATAAGGATTCTATTGCCTGTTAAAGTATGATTCTATTCCTCAAGCTTTTTTTGGGCAATGACAATATTTCCATTAGGCAAATGGTGGTAATATAACACACTTTCTTCAGCTGCTATCTAAATGTCAAACAATACTTCCTTATCATTTCTATTGACATAAAATCTAATATCTAAAGTTGATGGTGAGATCTACAAATGAGTATCATTAAAAGCAAGCTTGTAATACCCTCTGCTCTCACAATGGTAAATTACATCCTCGAATCACCATGGAGGGACAACAATGGCACTTAATGGAGAAACAGTGTTTTTGAAACAGCACTTGTCTGTAGACACTCCCGACCATTCCATATCACATGGATGTAGTTTTGTGTTTGATGGAAGAAATCCAAGTGCTGCTGCTAACACTTTTAGAATTGGCTTCTAGTCATAAGGAAAGTCAAAACAAATTTGGTAGACAGGAGTATGATGGAGATCATATTTATAGAAAAAATCATTTATGGAAAATTCCTAGTGGAAGGGGAGCTGTCTCATCAGGATGTATAAGACAGTGCATCATGCCCCCCCCCCCCCCACCACATTTCCACTGAATAATTGTTTTGCTGAATTGTTCACAATTTACCTTCCAGACCCTCTAACCCTCTTGTACAGCATCAGAAGCATGTTTACAATAATAGATTAATGATCAGATTTATTTGCTCAGATTCTGAGACCATGGGTAATCCCTGCTTTAACAATACTTTTATGAAGCATTTACAGAAATATTCAAGATGCTAAATCTTCTTAACCCCTTTCAACATAGACACATCCTAGGTCTAGATATAATTATCTATAAATGTAATTATCATCCATCCTGCCACATCTGTTCAAATCCCTTCTGATCCAATGTATCATCAAAATGGAATTATTAACAAGCAGGTGATCAAACTTATACCATGTATAGGTGGTGTTGTTGATAAATGTTGACCTGTAATCACGTTAAAACAGAACACATCTCTAATTGGTTTTGTCACACAAACATGTTTTTTTGTTTTCTAAACACAACAATGTCATCTAGAGAAAGGACATATCTCAGTTAGTAGTTTGTATATGTTTTGATACACAACCATATGGTCATAACTGACCTATCTACACAGCTATAGTTATATTACAAATGATTAGTAAGCTGCACCTTTTTTTCTTGTGAATCGGGCATATGGCTTAATCACCAGTGTGGCTTATTGACAGGATGAAAACCAGGAACCCATGTCCACTGGATAACAGAACAAGATAGTACCAAGTATTTTTACGAGTACCTGCCTGTCATGTGTTTGTAACTGAAACAGATTTTCCAGAGCCAGCATTTGCAATCATATACAGGATGATTTGAAGACTGAAATAAAAACAACATTCTCGTGGATTTAATTAATCTTACTGTTCAATATGAATCATGATAATATCTTCTGAACTCTCAGGGTTACTTTGAAGCGGATGTTTACAATAGCCTTTTGCATCCTGCGATCAATACGTCATCGTGTTAAAAGTCAAATTCTAGCATGACTGTCATGTTTGTTTGCAATACGAAAGGCTTTATGTAACTTACAAGAATAAAAAATATAGGACTGTAAGGTAAGCATACAAGGGCCTTCATCAATATCTAACAGTACAGACACTGATGGAGAGATTGTTTAGTAAACTATACATAACGTCAGTCCCTATCTCTGTGCATAGACAATCTGTGAATGCAATTAACTATATATTCTTAGATGTTTTAGTTTTCTTTTTTCTTATAGGTAAGAACAAATAAACATCCACAGCAAAATATGCAAGTATGTCTTGTAGAATTGTTGCCAGGAGGGTTTTAAACCAAAGACATTGATCTAATTGTCTGGTGAAATCCAAAATCAACATACCTGTCATGTTGATCAGCCTGTTGTAGACTGAGGCACAAGAATTCAGAAAGGTACTAGTCTATCATGACATGGCCTTTTAACAAGACACATAGAAAACCTGGCATACTGACTAAACAATGCGCCTACATTAAGATTGAATGAAGCTGAAAAAATTGTGTGTATTTCCATTGGGTGAACAGCATGTACTCAGCTATGTGTCTTGCCAAATGGGCACACCAAATGTTTACAACTATTTCCTTTATCAAATAGGTGAACAAAATGTATACAGTGATGTGTCTTGCCAATGGTTGAATAAAATGTTTCCAGCTATGTGTCTTGCCAAATGGGTGAACAGAATGTATATATAGATATGTGTCTTGCGAAATGGGTGAACGAAATGTATACAGTTATGTGTCTTGGCAATGGGCCAACAAAATGTATACAGCTATGTGTCTTGGCAATGGGCCAACAAAATGTATACAGCTATGTGTCTTGGCAATGGGCCAAAAAAATGTATACAGCTATGTGTCTTGGCAATGGGCCAACAAAATGTATACAGCTATGTGTCTTGGCAATGGGTGGACATGGTTATATCTCTATGACTATAAGGATCATGTATTACCAGGTAAGTTTTACTCAATGACTGTGTAACATTACAAATAAAAGGCTTTTAATAACAGCCTAATATGTTCTTTTCACAATGTGTCTATCACCAGTGTTACTGACTGAGTGATCTGTGTATGTACCAATCAATG